ATGTGTACAGAAGAGCAGGTCATTAAGAGGGTTGGCTACTAAAGTAACCCCTTTCTTCCAATAGCCCGCATTACTATAATGATTCCTTAATAGCAAGCCATTTATTAAGAAATGACACAAAGACTACATTCTACTCATGACAGGGAAGGGGGTTGGGGATGACTTAGAAATAACATTGGAAGAAACAAAAGTTAACCTTTGGAGAAAAATTCCACAGTGGAACCAAATCCACACAAAGTTCAGGTTAGAGTAATTGCAATATTACTTAAGAAAGTTGAGCAGTCAGTCCTCCTATGTGTATTTATGGATTTCTAAGTTTCATTGCGTATTACTTAAAGTTTGGGGGTGTCAGTGGAGAGAGGGTAATTATCTTAATTCAGAGCATATTTATTGATCATCAGCAGTGTATACAGAACTGTAGTGAACTGTTTAGGAACACAAAAGAGGCTGTGGGATCTGTGGGATTAGTCATCTGGTATAACCCTCTGACTTTGTGAACTATGAAAGTTACTTAACCTCTTCCAGCTACAGTTCCTGCCTAGTGGTGTTGTGAGGATTACATGGAATGATATGCTTAAAGCTCTTAGCCTAGTGTCTCGCCCATAAAGGACACTAAATAAATGTCAGCCTGTTATTGGGGTGGTATTGGCCATAACCAGTGGGTGGTGGTGGAAGTGGTGAGTTTTAATCTTTATCACTATTATTAGAATTATGAAGTCCAAAGAGTTTGATGACTTAACCAAGTCACATAGGTTATTGGCAGGGCTGGGACTCTAGACAGTCGCTCCCAGGCCCAGGCCAGCACCCTTTTTATGCCCTAGGGCAGCGGTCGCCAACCGGTGGTCCACGGACCACTGGTGGTCCGTGAGGTCCAAAAGATTGGTGACTGCTGCCGTAGGGTGTCTATCTTTATAGCCCTCAAAATGCACTCAGTCTAGTTGGGGAGAAAATATTATGTATGAGATCATTAAAGAATGATAAGGCCTATGGTCAAGTACAGATGGAGCAAAATCAGGCTTCACATTATATACAACAGGCAGAAAGCATTGTGAGTGGTCCAGTCCTGCCTTCACATCCCCATGTTTGACTTGCAGTGGCCCTGTGTAATCTCTGTAACACACCAGAAGGCAGTTAGCCATGAGCTTCGGAGCTCAGCATGGCATCCTAGGCAGACATTGGACAAATCATCTCACCCTTGAAAACTTTTAGTTTCCTAATTTGCAGGATTTGTTACCAGTATTAGCTAAGAAACACATTATATGAGTTATATTTATTTAATGGGTATTTTACATTTGTTAAAATAATATGATCATTTGCTTATTGATACCCTTTCATAGTGCACAACTGGAAACAGTCTTTTATACATGTGCACTCTCCTGGAAGAGGTGAAATATCCATTATAACAATTCTATTTCCTTGCTTGACAGCATTGTTTAGGCCTCTGTTCCCTCTTGCCAGGACCTAAATCAACCTACCAACTGATTTCTCCACCTCCGGAGTCTCAGTCCTCTTTCTCGTATTCCATATACTGTCGTCATATTGCCCTTCTTCAGATGCAACAATTATCCTTTCTCTACTCACAAACTGTCATGGATCCCACAACTCACTTTATATCCTGTCTCCAAACTTACCCACATGCTTTGTCATTTGCCCAGAGACCCTCTCCTATCTCCTTCTCTGCATCTTTAAACCCTAACCATCCTTGAAGGCTTAGTTGAATTGTTAACTCTTTCTGAAATCAACCCTTGTTCTGATCCCACAGCCAGTGTGAGCCATTGCTCCTTTGAACTTTCCTAACACAGTCCTTTTGTTTCCCCTTTGAGATGGAACCCATTCAGCATTGCATTAGATAGCCAGGTATTATTTTCATTCTACTAGGTTGTAAACCTTGCAGGGACAAAGACATTATACGCCTTTTTATCATCTTAAGTTTAAGACAAATATTGTATGTGAAAATCAAGGTGGTTGGGAGGAAAAGCGGAGTTTCCAGGGTCACACATCCTTGAATCTTACTGCTGGTTCTCCTTCATTCCTCGTTACAGGGCCTAGTTCTTATCATCCAAAAAAATATACTTTCCAGAAGAGGTTGTTTTGAGGATTAAGTTAGATGTAATAAAGTACTTATCAAAACATGGCCCCACCAGTACTCAGAAAAGCCTGCCGAAAGCCCACCTTTTGGGTTCTTAGTTCAAAGTCTCTTCCTGTCCAGTTCACAGCACTGAGAATAGCTACCACTTTTGCAGGGATATGTGGTCAGTGCCCCCTGTCCTTAGATATGAGGCTTTCTCTTTGGCTGTCCCAGGATCACTGAATCAAAATCCATTCTGATAAACTGCCCTTCCACAGGATACATACACACAGATGGACCAGGGGACGTTCCTCACAAGCCTGCTTTGAAGAGGGCAGAGTTTGGGTCTGTGTGTTATTAGGATTATTTAACCCAGGTTGTGAAACCCATTCTCATTTCAGAAATTCAGTGAGGTTTTAAAATTCAAGACACACATAATCAGTTTGCCAAGCTCTGAAGTTACTCACCAGAAGTCCAACAGACACTATGGGAAGTGTCACAATGCTGCCAGGCCACCTGCTGCTCTTGGCTAGGTGACAGCTACAGTGTACTGAGTGGTTCACAGGAAGTAAACATACGGGCAAGTTAGGGAACATTTCTGTGGGCTTAATTATTTTTTAAGCTTTCCGAGAGGTAGAACACTATATTTACATGTGTATTTTTCTTCCTTCACCTGTTCTGTCTCCCTTGACATTTTAAAAAGATAACCAAGGTAAAAGATACTTTTCCAGGGAAGAACATGATAGATAAAGTGTTAGATACAAGTGCAGCTGGATGTTCATGGTGAGGGAGAGGGCCTCAGACTCTGCCTCTCAGTGCCCTCTGGCCTGTTCCACCCGCATCTTGCTCTGTCTTTTCTTCCCAGAGTGAGAGCGTGGGCTCCTGAGGTTCCCTCCATGCTCAGGAGTGAAGCAGCTGCTCCGTCCAACTGAGGCCTCAACCCCATCCTGAAACTTGTGAAGGAAATTTAAGTTCAGACCTTGACACCGATCAGCCTTTCCCATCTTCTTTAGTTAATGAGAAATGTGGGTCTCAGAGCTCCATAAAGGCACAGCCATTAATAAGTACCTATTATATACCAAGCTGCTAGTATATAATGAGATGATGGGTGATCCAGACCCGTGAAGGAATTATTGGCTCCCATAAAAAATAAAATATTATGAAATAAAAGGGGGAAACATGCAGACAAATTTAATATAAAAAGCAAATTAGGGAGTGACTAGCAGAATTATTAATCAGAACTCTGTTTACACGTACAGTCAAGCCTAACCATTTTTTTTTAACTAAAGGCCCTTCCTCCATGAGAGCCTGTCATTGAAAGATGTGTTTGAATTTCAGAAAGCATATGTGGATTTCAGAGCTTTCCATCTCTTAGCAGTGACTGTTTTTACATAATGACAGTTATTATTAAGGTTTATCCATTGCTATTAATCAAACAACTAAGTGTTTCTTCTTAGAAATTGCTGTATCCCCTCACAGCCTTACCTGATTCTGTCATTTTATGAATAACCAAAATTTCCCCAAGCAATAGTCCTGGGACTCATCTCATACTCCCCCTTTTCCATCATTACCAAACTTTAGAAGTCAACACATTTTCTTGATTCTAACTTCTAAATACTTACACCAGACTCGTCCTTCCCATCCCTTGAATTTATCTTATTTTAATGACTCCACTGGCCTCTGTGGTTTTACTGATTATAATTCTTCAACTGCCACCCTACTCCCCACTATACCTGTGCTCATGACACGGTGATGTTTCTAGATTGCAAATGCAAATTTGATGGTAACCTTCTCCTACTTTATTGGTTCTCCTTTGACGAGGAATCAGTTCCATTTTACCAGTAGTTACTGACTGCCTCCTGTTGTCAGGGTTTATATTAGATGACAATATAACCCCAATAGTCCCAAATTATGTTCAAGTGTGATAAATTTACGTATTGTTTTTGCTTTTCATAATCTTTCAAAAGAAGAGATTATTTGTACTAATATAGTTGCACCACTAATTTGACACAGAGTTGTGTTACAAGATTGATATATGTTCTTTATTTATTTTAAAATGTATTATGCTACTACTGAAAACAAGGTATCTGGAGGCTCTAGTACAAAAAAAAGTTACAGGGAATCACATCTCATACAAGAATCTACTCTGAAAATCACATACAGTCAAAATTATCCTTAACAATCCCTTAAATCAAAGGTCGGAAAACTCTTCTACATAAATAGTTTCTGCTTTGTGAACCATATGTTTCCTGTTACAGCTGCTGGTCTCTGCCCTCATGGAGGGAAGCATAGACAATACCTAGATGAATGTGTGTGTGTGTGTGTGTGTGTGTGTGTGTGTGTGTGTTTTCCAATAAAACTTTATCTACAAAAACTCTGGTGCAGGGACCATAGTTTGAAGGCCCTGCCTAGTGAGAGGAATATTAAAGTAGGGGTGTTTGCAGGGTGCTGAGGTGTCAGAGTTAGAGAGAAATCACAGATTTCTCATCACAAGAAATTAGAAAGATTAATTTGCAGTTCAGACCTAATTCCAAAATACAGATGAGCGAAAGCTGTCAGAATCAGACAAAATTAGAAAAGCCCATGGAATGTTTTGGCTGGTCATTGAAGAAAAGTTTCAACCCAAAACATGGAGGTATTTTTGTTAAAAGCATCCAGAAACATTACAACCCTACTGATGATTTACTATTTAAAAAAGAGGAAAGATGAAAGGTACATTAGGAAAAAAAAATATGTCTTTCTGGTGGAGACTATTTTTATTGTCAACATTCTTTTGAGGTCAGAGTTTATTACTGATTTTTTTGGATAAGCTTACCCTATAAATTCAAAAATAAAATGTGTTAAATGCAATACTGAAATATACTCTCACTGATGTTTTATCCACAGAATTTAACTTACGTGAGTTTTCTTTTTCTTGTTTGTTTTATTCTAGCACCAATAGCTGCAGGAACTGGCCCCAATTTTTCTCTCTCAGATTTGGAAAGTTCTTCATACTACAGCATGAGTCCGGGAGCCATGAGGAGGTCTTTACCCAGCACATCCTCTACCAGGTAAGGTGGTTGATGGCTCTTAAAAAGGTCATGCTTCATAGTTTCACACCTTGATTTTAATTCTAGGCCTGCTAGGTGCTTAGCAGTGTGCCTAAAGCAGTAGAAGGTACTAGAAGGTGGGTTCAGCCCCAACAGACTTTCAGACTCATTAGGAAGGGAAAACAAATGGACATGCAGCAGAAACAGATAAAACAGACAGATAAATCATATGCACGTGCGTACACACACACACACACACACACACACACACACACACACACCAGAGAGTAAAAAACAGTGAGCTAAATTATGTAACAAAGGTTAAAAATAGATAAAGAAGGCTTTATCCAAAAAGAGTGACTCATGCTCAGCGATAATGTTGGTTAGGGTTGGTGAATGGAAAGGGAAAGGAATGCTGTTCCGTGTGGGGTGAAAACACTAGCAAAGGCATGGAGGAAGGATGGATGATGAACGTAGCATGTTCTCAGGAAATTAAGGACGAGGCTTGACTAGGGAAACGGATGTGTTTTTCGGCATGTTTAGCACAAATTTGACCCTGGTGACACCAGTCCCAGTCCCCATGCCCACAGCACACACAGAAGAGCTCAGTCCCAGCTCTTCTCCTGCTGAGCCTCCAAAGGGCTCAGAATCTAGTCTGTTGGAGCTGCCCTAAGAGATAAACCAATTTGATAGCCTGGTGAGAGGTTATGAAAGTTAATGTGGTCCCGCAGGGTAAGGCTGGATCACAAACCCCAGTGCACCTGGAGACCTCAAAAGAGTAAAGATGGAGAAGCACCACCAGATAATGATTACAGGGTGCTTGATTCCCTTGAAGTCACAAAGCCAAAATAAAAATGAAGCGTTTTTGCAAGATCCTGTTGTCTCTAGATAACCTGGACCAGAGGGAGAGGGATTAGGCATTAAACCCACAGTATTCTTTTACAAATTGGCTTTAGCATTGGACTGTGACAACAAAGAAAAGAATGGCACAGAATGATCTTTAATGTTTGTCTACTTTGCAGAAAAACATTGGACAAAGGCATATTCTTCCACAAGCAAGTACCAGTTTTATTGTTTGAAACAATGTCCCAATTATAGACGTTTTCTTTGGTAGAGACTCATGCTTACCTTGACTTTATATTTTAATCATCATTACTTACAAAAAAATCAACTTAGTCATTACAAATACCTTGAAAATAGTTAAAGAAACAGTTATTCTCTCTATATAAGCGCCAAATCCTGCCATCATCTTTCATGTTGCTTAAATATTCCTACAGTTCGCTGTGGTATCAGCTCATCAGGAGAAAAAAAGTCTCAGATCCAAAGTCCATTTATAATAAAAGAATGAGATTGTGAACACATTCAGGTGCTAATGCATTTTGAGGATTTTGAATGTTTGCTGATGGAAGAGACATTGTGTGTAACTGCACTCAGTCAACATGAAAAAGCTTTGCAAACACTTGTGGGCAGCGATTAATTTAAAAGTTGACGGGCTGTTTGTTTTTCATATGTGTTCTGTGCATGTACCATGGATGTCCCAAACAGTGCTCCTCACCCCATCCCTTTGACTTCCAGCTGTTTTGTTGCCTTTTGTTGTGACTGGCTGAGGGGAAACCTGGTCATTAATGTCATTCTCATAGTCTGCAAATAACTAACCCTGATAAGGAGCTAATTATAAACAGCATCAGTAGTTAATAACTCAGTAATATGTTTGTTTTACTCTCATTAGACTCTCCTCAGATGATTTTTTAAAATTATTCTTTAAACATATAGACTCAGCAGAATTATCTTCGTACAGGTTAGAATATGTACCCAGAAGAATACCCCAGATCTACATATAGAAAAGTTCACCAATCAATCATCTGTTTATGATGTGCAAAATATCCATTGGTCACCTGCTCTGTGAACAGCAGTGTATTAGGTGCTTTACATACCTGATACAATTAATCTTCATAATAAATTTATAATATAGACAGTGTGGCCATTTAACAGTGGATGAACCCAAAGTCCAGGGAAGTTAAGTAACTTGCCAAGGTCACAGACCTAGTAAATGGCAGAGTCTACTTTCAAATGCAGGTCTGTTGAATTTAACATGCTATTTTACACTGAATCCTCTTAAGAATGGGACTGACCCTTTCAGTTAAAAATAGTAGAGCACGAGGCCCCCCAAAAGGAACATGTAGCAGCTCTACTTTTCCTGGACACTTAGCCTTTGCTGTCTTGAATTATTATTACCATCTTTGAGGTATGTACAGGTCCTGTCTGCCCACCTGGACTATCCATCCCTTAGAGGACAGTAACTAACTCTTTAATTCAGCAACAGACATTATTAAGTACCAGGGATATTGTCCTTGTCACTGTAGATATAAAGTCAAGTAATAGGAGCTTTGCAATCTAGTGGTTAGAGACTCACAAGTAAATGGAAATTTTTAGTTCGGGGTACTATGAGGCATTTTGCAGTTTTGTGAGTCCAAGGTAAGGCTTCTTGGCTTTGCACAGAGTAGGGTTTAAGCAAATATTTGGAATAAAGGTAATAGTCTTACCTTAATTTCTAGGTAGAATTGCTAAGAACACAAGAACAAATTTCTCACACAAGTAGAGATGGTCCATCACTCCTTAGAAGAGAGGACAAGATCTTATTGCTACCTTCCTGTTTCCTTAAATGTTTCTGAGAGAAGAGAATTGGTGTGCTAGAAAGTCAAGAGCAAGAAATAAAAATTAATGACTGATTCATTTCTAAATTTAAAAAGATAAAGGAGATTGATAGGCATTAATTGTTGTTTCTGTACCCCTTCCTAGTAAACATCTCCAAAATCATAGAAGAGGTAGTATAAAAAGTATACTTTTTTATCCCAAAAACCTTGTCAAGATAAACCAACTGTCAAGTTTATGAAGTTGATAAGCTTGGTCTAGGAGGCCCTCCACCTGTCTATCCTGGCACTTCCAACATTTCCACTCCTGGATCTTTTTCTCTCCATCATCGTGTACCTTCATCCTCTCAATATTTATCCTGTGTCCCTGAAAGTCTTGATTCTAAAGTAAGGTGTCAGCTAATAACTACAGACTCTTCACCTTTAGGATTTAATAACTGCACAGTGTATTTGCATTTTATTAATGGATACCAAGGAAACCAAATCTTGGCAAACTCAGAAAAATATTAATAATGAGGAAATGATGGGCAATGGAATTGGTCTTTTGAGCTAGATGTCATTGAATCATTGATACCTGGGCGAATCCTTGTCACAAGTACTCATGGCTATTTCTAAGTCACTAGCCCAAATCAGCAGTTTCTGTACATATGCTATTTGCCAGACACTGTGGCAGGCACTAGAGATTAAAAGATATATACACATTTCTTTGATATATATTGAGGGAGAGAGAGAGAGAGAATCTCTTTCATCACAGACCTCACAGTTCCATCAGAATATACAGATCTTGTCTTTGTTTATTTGCCAGGGAACATAAGGGAAATATTTATTTCTTTCCAATTTTTACTCTTCCAACTTCTAAAATTATTTCAAATAGCTTCAATTTTAAAACACAACAGCTAATTTTAAATATGGAAAGAGAGGCTAGAAACCATATGGAAAGATAGGAGAGATTGTTATATTAGGAACCTGAACTAAGAGTTATTCTCTAAATTTACCCCCCTGAGTTTCCTGGTTGCCAAGGCAAGAAAGGGAAGAAATAGTCTATTCAATCTGTATTTTCTAATAGAGGGGAACAATGGAAATTCATTCAAAGAAACCATATTTTTTCTGGCTTTATGTATTAGGAATTTTTTATGTATATCCTTTTATAAAGGACTTCTTATAAGATGCAGTTTTCCATAAAATATAGGAAAGTTTTTTAAAGTCTCTATTTTTCATTGAACTTCAAGGAAAGCCAAGCAAAGAACATTAAATAAGCTATTAAAGTTATTTCCTTTGGGTACCAAGCTAGCGTGCAACAGACATGTTGCTTTCCTGTGGTCTGGCTTTAATGAGAATAGAACTTAAAGTCAAAGAACACTGGTATGCCAACTTTAATAACTAGAATTTCATGCCTTAAATTGGACCCTCCACATTTTTTTATTTGGATTGTTTCAATAGCCTCTTAATTATCTCCCTGCCTCTCAATTCCATCCCTTCTTCTCCCTTTGCTTTTCTGAATCTATCACGTGCACAGCTACCAGAGTGACCTTTCCTAAAATGTGACTGATGTCACTCCCTGTTTAGACTTTTTCAGGGGGGGGTCTCCATTGCTTGTAGGTGAAGTCCAGACATACAGTACCTTCTTTACCTTCCACCTCCTCTTTTTCTGTGCCATGCTTTTAACTTTAGCCATACCAAACACCTGGCAGTCCTCTGGGCATGTCGCACTTTACTCAGGACGTTGTTTCTGCTTGGGGTTTACCTCCCTCCAGGGAGCGATGCTCAGAGTACCCGCTAACCTGAGTGATGTGAGCTTACCCATTAGAGTAATGCCACCCTACCCAGTGCTCGGCTAGTCCTGACGTGCCCCAGGTGTGCCAGACAGTAACCCTTTAAGTTTTGGATCAGGAGGCTCTCCCAGGGCAAAGATAGGGTGGCAAGGTTGGAGGAAGCTGATGGGGCTTCAGACATCGGCACTTTGCCAGTTGGTAAAGCAGTATTTCAATATTTCAAAATCCAAAATAGCTGCCTGGGTGGTGTGTCAGGTGAATAGCAGCCTATCTCGGCCCTCCTTTCTGCTCTGGCTCCTTGACACTCATGCTTACAGACAGCTCAAGAGCCATCTCCTCTGGGAAGTCGTTCCCCACCTCCCAGGCCTATCACTGTTTCCTTCCCCCATCGAAGAACCCATTATATCCTATGTGTGGTTCCACCATAATTCCTATGTTCCTCTTATGCACAGTTTTGTTTACCTCTCTGTCTCCATCCCCGGGAGCCAGGGGCCGTGTCTGATTCATCTCTGCACCCCAGCATTTTGCCTAGTACCTGGCATGTAGGAGGTACCCAGTAAGTGTTTGATGAATGAAAACATTAAACATTCTGTACCCTGACAATAAGACTCCCACTAGATATGAAACATCCCCATTCTGGTATGATAGTGACATAATCAGTTAAGACAATTCCAACCACATGAGCAGCATGTAGTATTTCACTACCTTTTACCTTCTCTTCCTCAAGCCTCAGATTGAGAGGGGAAAAATTCAGTCCTTTCACTGGAGGAAATTTGTCAACCATACTGCTCCAAAAACAAAATAAAAAAATCCCTACCCTGAGGGAACAAAGCTTCATTTTGGTAATCTCTTTGTAGAGGAAGACATAAAAGTCATCAGGCCCCTCTTTTTCCATGTCCCTCGTCATATAGGAGGAAGGAAATGCAGTTCCCCCTCCTATGTTTGTCTCTTTTGTTCACTTATCTCTAGTGTCTAGATCAGTGCCTGGAATATTGTAACTGCAGAAAATATTTTTTGAGTGAAAAGATTCAAGTGGAAGATGAGAAAACATGGCCAAAAAATAATAATCTAAGCTTTCCTTGAAGGGTCATGCACTCTGATTTTTATCTTTTCTGGGGTGCCAGAAATTATCCAACTGATGTTTAGAGGAATTGCTGATGGCTGTGTCCCAGCCACAGCCCGAGGAATATGAAATGTGGGCTTCCTCCTGATACTTCCAGGTGGAGCCAGGAGTGGGAGTCAGCTACCAGTTCCTCAAAGAAAAAAAGAAACAGGATATGGCAGCAGCAGCAACTTGAGTGACAATAAAAATCAAGCCCAGACATTTGGAATAAGACAGACCAAGACTTTGTTCCACATCCAGTGACTCACTAAACTGAACGAGAGCCTGGAAGAGTCCTAGAACTACACTGAGTTGCCCAATTGCTTCCTCCCTTGGCTTTCTTTCAGCCAGACGTGCAATGTCCAATTGAAAGGTGGTTTGGATTGCCTTTAAACATGCACCCTTGTGTTATTCCAGCTCCACCAAGCGCCTCAAGTCTGTGGAGGATGAAATGGACAGTCCTGGTGAGGAGCCATTTTACACAGGCCAAGGGCGCTCCCCAGGAAGCGGCAGCCAGTCCAGTGGATGGCATGAAGTGGAGCCAGGTAAGCAGGCAGGTGGCAGCATGTGCCCAACTGAGAGCGACGGCCCATGGGGGCCCACAGTGTGCGTAGAGTGAAGAGAGCAAGCTCAGAGCAGTTGACTTTTTGGCTTTTCACCATGAGCACTGGTTTGAATCTCACTGATTCATTAAAGAGAGGGTAGCAGTGAGAGGTAGCAATTCAACTGAAAGGGAAGACTGGTAAGAATGGTGGATGATTTTCTACCCGGACATATTTTTACCTGCACGACAACCCAGCATTCCATTCACTTTTGTTTTTATACTAATTGCCTTTGGGGTTTGGTTTTTTGAATTATCTTTTAATAATCAAAATAAAACTCTAGTGTTTACCTATGCCGCCATCTTGGTCTCTCTCGAATTATCTTTTAATAATCAAAATAAAACCTCTGTCAACTTAGCTGGATGGATAACATGGAAAGAAGAATGTATTTCCTGTGCTACGATGTTTACACAATACTTGGATTTTTATAAAATGAGAATACTTTAAAATATTGTTTCCTATGACTGGGCACCATCATGATTGTTTTCCTATTTAAATGGAACAGTAGTCTTTATGTCCATTTTCATGAACTAAGTAAATGATGACTTCTAGTCTAACCTCCTGGGATGGTCTAATCTTGATTCTGGAGTATTGAGAGTAATGTGAATAATTATTACAGCAGAACTGTTTTGAAGTCTTTCTCCATGTCTGACCTCCACCTGGGCCAAGGGGAATCTTCTCCAGTGCCTTCCCCAAGATGCAAAGTCAAGCGGATATAGAGGATAGAGTGTAATCCTGGCTCCTGCTCCTGCTGCCTGTGTGATTACGGGCAAATTCCCTTACCTCTCTGAGCCTGTGTCCCCATTTTCATCATCTGTCAATAACAATAGTTGTTTCATTGCTCTTGAGAATTAAAGGAGGTGACATATACAAACCATCTGAGATTTATATAAAGATGTTTTGTGACCGTTCTCCCTCACCCATGCCTCAGAGTAATTTCCTGCAAGAACAGACAAGCACCAAGAAAATGTCTGAACTAAGCTCTTCATCTTCAAATCTTAACTCCTTTCTCTCTTCCCTAACACATCAAAAGACAGTTCTCAGAGGGTGTGACTGTAAAAGAATAGCAGGAGGGAGATTTGGGGGATGGTGGAACTGTTCTGGATCCTGATTGTGGTGGTGGTTATAGGAATCTGTGCATGTGTTAATATTCATAGAAATATATACCTCCCCCCCCCAAACCCCACAGCCCCCAGGCAGTTTTACTGTATGATAGCCAGGAAAACCAAACCTGGGCCCCACTGGCTGAGTCTTTTATCCTCTTTCCTTTACTAAAATGCAGAAATTTCAATTTTTCTTGCTTCTACCTTATCTTCTTTCTCAACTTATTCATTTACTCATTCAACTCATTCAGTAATCATCATTGGGAACTTTCTCTGGATGGAACACTGTGCCTAATTCTGGGAACTCAAGGATGAGTGGAAGGCCACGGCTCCAGCTTTCAAGGAATTCACAATTGGGGGTGGGAAACACATCTAAGAAGCTCATCATAAAGTGAGATAGAAAGTACAAGGGATATTAGCCTGTGGTGCACCTTTTTCTATTTTTTTTAATCCTCACCCAAAGATATATTTATTGATTTTAGAGAGGGCGGGGCAGGGAGAGAGGGAAAGAGATACAGAGAGGGAGAAACATCTATCGGTTGCCTCCTGTATGTGCCTCAACCTAGGCCTGAACCCACAACCTAGGTATGTGCTCTGACCAGGAATGGAACCCACAGTCTTTCAGTGTATGGGACGGTGCTCCAATCAGCTGAGCCACTGGGCCAAGACAACCTCTTTCTGCTTTTACAAACACAGCACCCAGAACAAAAAGGGTCTTCTATAAAGGCCACAACAGCATCACTCCACACATTACATCATGCCAGTTTGCCTAAAGTTGCTAAGAAATAACCCGGCCTGAGTGAAGATGAAAATGCTGACTCCTCCTTGCCACTAACTGCATCATCAGCAGGACCTCAGCAGAGTGCCAGTGAGAAGTTTATGTGCTGTTAGAAAATTAAAAGATGTGAAACTTTTTTAAACCCTTCCTAAAAGGCTAATTAGAGTCCTTGCCAGTTTACCTGCTTCAGTGAAAATCAGAGTTGATATCTATAGGTTTGGTACATTGGTGTGGAGTAGTGTACTGATGCCGTTTTAGGCATCTCAACACTGCTTTTTTGTGCTGAAGGGCAGGAAGCTCCTTTACCATGAGACTGTTCTTTGGGTCCTTAAGTAGATTGCTTTGGGGCATATTTGGGGACAGTGGGGTTAGTGGAATATTGAGTACTTTGATCCAGTAACGTTTTTATTCAGAGTAACTCTTCTCTATCTGCATATTCTGGATCAAATGATCATGAATTTTAACATCTGGATACCTGTGTTATTTATAGTCATTAAATAACTGAAGTTTAATGGCTAAATCCTTTTTGGGAGGATAGATAGATAGATAGATAGATAGAACTATACACACACACACACACACACACATATGTAATGTATAATTGTGAGGGATTTCTCTAAACATATATATGTGTGTATATATATTTTTACACATATATATAATTTCTTAGAGAAATTTCCCACAATTATATTCCTAGGCTGATTCTTGGTTCTCTATCCCTAAGTTATTATAGAAAAATGCAGTTTCATAGTATATGTGTGTGAGAGGCGGCAGGGGGGGCGGGGAGAGACAGTGGTTGAATTTACATTTGGCCACATTCTGCATAGAGAGTCATAATTGAAACAGGGCCTGAGGGGACATTAAAACTCAACTGGAGGATGTTGTACATGTTCATAGTGACTTTGGTGTCATTAACTCACACCAGCCATTTTAAATGGATAATTTATGCTGCCAGATGGTCCTTTTTGGGGATTTTTCATCCAGCCCAATCCCCTTTTTGGCACAGAGAACACCCTTATGTTGTTCCCACACTGATCCGGGCCTGCACGGATTTCCCCAGGGCTACAGTTCATTGAGTAGGAGGCTTTCTGGTGGTTCACTCATGTAAATTACCTTCAGCACATGTGGGGAGTTCTGTATATCTGAATGCACCAGCAGCCTCTTGGTTGCCTGCACTTGGGATCATTCTCTCAAACAAGTACTAAAGGATACTTTGTTTATGCCTCAGATGTGAACAAGGCCTGTGCCTACTCCTCTCTCAGAGAGCTTTGCATCTGTTTACCTGCCCTGAGATGCTTTGTCAGGACTCCCGGCCCAAAGAGGTCCGAAGGTTGCAGGGAGAGACAAATTTCCTTAAGCAACAGGAAGGCTTCGGAAAGTAAAACAAACCAGACATACAGTAAATTACATAGGCTCTTTCAAATATCTTTTGTAGTATCCTGTTCCCCATTAGTTTATCTCAGCACTTTTGTGCACAGCTCTTATTATCTGGGAAGAAGGGCATAGGAGATTAAAGATGATGTTAGTTTAAAAACATCAGACAACCTCAAGCTGACTTTCGCTTCTCTTACAATGCTGCATTTGTTCCCTCCACTTAGTTCCGTCTCCCAGTTATCTCGGAACTGAGTTAGATTCGAAGCTTTGAAGCTAATCACACGCTGATGAAATGAGTCCTATGAAATTCTATCAAGCAAAAATGCACATGCCATCAACTCGTGTTTATCTGCACAAATGAAAAATTGCAGAGAAACTGATAATACAAATAAATAGGAAGGAAACCAACAGACAGGCGCCTACATTACATGATGCTTTCATACAGATGGTAAAAATTATAGCTACAATTCTTTTTAAGAAAAATTACCCTTCTCTAAAATGTGCAATATAGAATGATCCTGCCTTATTAAAGAGGAGAACTGAGAATTATAATCCAGAATCCAGACTTCAACTCAATTTGATTTCAGAGTGTAAGTTTTGTCTTCTACATTTAATAACCACTTTGACCATAAATGTTTATACTTTTTTTAAGGTCTCTTGCCCTGGATTTTTATTGAAATTAAAAACATAATAAAAAAAAAACACGAACTGATCAAAAGACCTGGAAAATCTCCCACTTTCCTTATCCCAAATCTCTTTTATATATCTGAGGCCAGGAAAGGAGTGTGGGTCATTAACTACACATAGGATACAATATATAAGCAAATTGTATTAACTGTTAACAAAGTGAACTATCTATCATTTTTGCCCATAAAATCAAATAATCCTCAGCATTCAGATCTGGGTTCAAATATTAGCTCATCAGAGAGGGTCCCAGTGATCTGAAATAGCTGGTGACTCTCTTTCACCCTCCTGTAATTCATAGTGCTGCTTTCCTTTCTTCACGCCACTATCTACTGCTATTGTTTGCTTTCTCCCTCTACAATATACATTTCATGAGCAGTGGGACTTAGTCTGTCTTTTCTACTGCTGTATGCCCAACACATATAAGAGTACTTGACACATAATAGACACTGAATAAATATTGATTGATTGAAATATATAAAGCCAAGAAATTTGGGTGCTTTCAATAAATCTGAAGCAGAATTTGCTACCAATAATTCTCTCAGAATTGATGTTTCTGATAATCTCAACATATAGGCTGTTATTCAGTCAAATCTAGTTATTAACAAGTAGAAAGCAAAATGATTGGTAAGGCTCAGCCAACGGCTCCATTGACAAGTAGTTGTATATGAAACTTTATTAAAATGATCCTTGGCCTTAAGCAGCGGTTCTCAACCTGTGGGTCGCGACCCCTTTGGCAGTCGAACGACCCTTTCACAGGGGTCGCCTAAGACCATCCTGCATATCAGATATTTACATTACTATTCATAACAGTAGCAACATTACAGTTATGAAGTAGCAACGAAAATAATTTTATGGTTGGGTCACAACATGAGGAACTGTATATAAAGGGCCAGAATGTTGAGAACCACTGCCTTAAAGGGTTTTGCTTTAAGTTAATCAAGCTTCATAGGTTACTGAGTTGCATAACTTCCTACATTTGAGACTACACCTGCAGTGAGCCC